TATTATACAACTCCATTTATGTAAAGTGTCCAGAATGGGCAAATCCACGGGGACAAAACTAGATTAGTGATTAGTGGTTGCCAGGGCCTGGGGATAGAACAGACTGGACAGTCACTGCTAGAAAATAGGAGGTTGCTCTCAGAGTGAGGAACATGCTCTGGAGTTAGACAGTGGCTGGTGATGGTTACACAAACCTGTGAATATATGAAAACCAACTGACCTGTGCACTTTATGGCATGTGAGTTCTATCTTGAGGGTAAACTTAGCCAATTTGTATTAAGAAGGTCACACTGGCAGTGAGGAGAGCAGATCAGAGGTGGGGGTGAGAGATGCCTTAATAAATGGACATGTGAAAAAGGCTTTGGAGTTTACAGAGGGCATGACCTGGACCATGTCCTAGAATAGAGCTTAGTTTTTCAACTACGGTGGTGGAAGCAGAGGTTGAAGGCCTTGCACTGCCCATGGTGCTGACCTCAAAGGATTTGGTTCTTATAAACCTCCCCGGGAATTTATTTCCCATAAGTTTCTTCCTCTTCTTCATCTTAGCCCTATGATCAGTGCCCCCGGAGCATTGGGACCCAAGGCGGTTTCTCAATGATAATGTGCATCTGATGCAACAACTTACACACTTTTTTAAATAACTCCCAGTGCTCCTGCCCTCAGCAGCCTCAGCCCGGCTTCAATTTGTGAATTAAGCCTAACTTTTTTTCCCTGAGGAGTGTCTTTCCCTTAAGGCCAATCCTCTGTGTGTTCTTGGTCTGACAGAGGCCAGGAAAAGAATGGAGCTACAGGAGAAGGGTAGCCTGGAGGGTGAAGGTTCTAAGTCCCCTTGGCCACTTTGGGCCGGAGGTAGGTGATGGCTGCAGTGTCCTTCCCATGGACAAGTCCACACTGAAAAGGCTCCTGCAAAGCCTGCTGTAAGACAAGCATGGGGTGGAGGGAGGGTAGGGGAAGTCACTGGGCAAGAATGCTGGGGGACAGGGCTTGGGGGAACAATTAATTTTATCTGGAACTAAAACTTTTATCTGTACTGGCTTATGTGTTGTGTGGAATTCAGGACAGAGGGTGGGAGGGAGAGCAGAAGAGATACAGCTGGTTTCTCCCCCATCTCCCACACACATACTCCAGCTTCTTCCCACACCTAGAAGAAAACACCAGGTCTTTCTCTCACACTTCCCACTCTCTACTGTTCCCCTTTTAATCCTCTGTTCTTCCTCCTCCTCCTGCCCGCTGCTCTCCCACTCCGAGTCTCCATTCCTTCTCTACTGCTTTGCCTCCATCCTCCCTTCTTCTCTATCTTGTCTTAATAAGACCTGTTAATACTTCCAAGATGACCACAGACTAAATTCACCCCCATTTTTGGAACCACTTGGTGCCCCTCCCCTCCTCTCTCAGTCCTGCATGGACGAATTTCATTAAGAGCAAGATGGATGGGAAACAAGATGGAGCAACAACAAAAAAGGTCTGGAATCCTTCTCTTTCCCTGTTCATATCCATGCCCCTCAGTATGTCTCTTTATTTTGCTTTCCCGTCTAAATCTATTCTTTTTGCACGTAGGCGGAAGAATCATTTCCAAACATTCTTACAAGTTCGTGGAAAGCATGCTGGCCATGCTAAGGGGATGCTTTTAGGTTTGTAAATCTGGTGATGCTGGGAATTAGGATTTGGGGTTCCCTTCAAATTCCCTTGAACTGAACTCTCATTCAGTGGCGACTTGCTCTCTTTTCACCTCTCACAGTGGTCTGGCCCATCCCAGCACTCCACCTACCATCAAGCCATCAAGCATTCTTTTGGGAACCATCTATGAGAAAGGCTATGCGTGCCCTAAGAACTGTGTAGCACTCAACATATCAGACTTGCATTGAAATTACAAACATAAGCGAGGAGACAGAGCCATCTTTATGGAAAAATACCAGTCCATAGTAACGTTAGGGAATAGCTCATTACTCTCAGGCCTTGAAGGAGGGGTAGGATTCGGATAGATGAACAGGATGGGAAGGCAATCCAGGTGGGGTACTGGCCTGATCAAAGGTCCTGACGCCTAAGGAACTGAGGAGGGGATCAGTTTGGTTGAAGTCAAAGGTTCTTAGCAGGGAGCAAGTAAGAAGAGAATAGTAGTTAGGAGTGCAGAATCTGGGACTAATCAGACCTGGGTCAGAGTTCCAGCTCTGCTACTCACTTTCAGTGTGACCTGGGGCAAATTATTTAACCTAGAGTGGGGATAATTAATAGTACTGGCTAGGGCGCCTGGGTGGCTCAGTCGTTAAGCGTCTGCCTTCGGCTCAGGTCATGATCCCAGGGTCCTGGGATCGAGCCCCACATCGGGCTCCCTGCTCGGCGGGAAGCCTGCTTCTCCCTCTCCCACTCCCTCTGCTTGTGTTCCCTCTCTCCTCGTCTCTCTCTCTGTCAAATAAATAAAATCTTTAAAAAAAAATAGTACTGGCTATATTTTATAAGCATGCAAATACTATATGAGAATTAAACAGGCTAATGTTTATAAATTGCTTAGCATAGTGCCTAGCACATAGCGAACACTCAGTAAATGTCTACTACTACAATAACAACGATTCCTGCTACAACTATGAGAAATGTTTACTACTTCAACAACAAAAGGTTAGTATCCAAAAGATATAAGGAACTTCTACAACTAAGTGGCAGATGGTTCTGCAAAGAAAGGTAGGAGCCCTTGAAAAGCCATCTAAGTGTGAATTCTTTCTTATAGGCAATGAAGAATCATGGAAAATTTTGAAAGTTTTGATTTAGAGGGAAAATGTCTTTTGAAGTTGACATTACAGAGTGTGCATCTCTGACGGATAAAGGCATATAGAAGTGTGTGACAGTTGTAATTTTTATAGGGATAGGGGCGCCTGGGTGGCTCAGCCGGTTAAGCGTCTGCCTTCGGCTCAGGTCATGCTCCCAGGGTCCTGGGATCGAGCCCCGCATCCGGCTCCCTGCTCAGTGGGAAGCCTTCTTCTCCCTCTCCCACTCCCCCTGCTTGTGTTCCCTCTCTCGCTGTGTCTCTTTCTGTCAAATAAATAAAATCTTTAAAAAAAATTTTTTTATAGGGATAAAAATAAAAATAGGGATAATAAAACTATGCTGTTGGCATTTTAGGAATCCATAATCAGGTGAGAGGGTTGGGGTTGGGGGTAAAAGGTTAGGGGTCAGGGGCTTTCTCAGAGAGACCCCACCAGGCCATTTAAGATGCTGCGCACCCAGTCTAAACTTGACACCATGTGGTAGAGCAAGGACACAAAGCTAGAGACAAAGATGTACTACTCTTTGTAATTACTCTACTTTGTAGGGTTGTTCTGACAACGCCCCTGGAGTGTCTGCTCCTCTCCCGCCTGTCTCGGGGATTTCTACCCTAGTGTGCTGGGATAAGCCTATTTTCACCCTGTTTCATCACATTATTTTCCACCAAAGGGCTTACAGGGGTTCTCAATTGTCGATGGGGACGCTTTTCAAATAGTCTTTTTTTTTTTTAAAGATTTTATTTATTTATTTGACAGAGAGAGACACAGCGAGAGAGGGAACACAAGCAGGTGGTGTGGGAGAGGGAGAAGCAGGCTCCCCGCAGAGCAGGGAGCCCGATGCGGCACTCGATCCCAGGACCGTGGGATCATGACCTGAGCTGAAGGCAGTCGCTTAACCAACTGAGCCACCCAGGCGCCCCGCTTTTCAAATAGTCTTATGCTGGAAGTTGGTGAAGCCACAGAATAAAGAAAGTGTATCTTCCTGGAACACCATTTTACACAAATATTGGGGATAAATGTGAATTCTAGATAAAATAAACATGACAATATTTTGAGTACTGTAACACCTCACAGATAATTTCAGAGATAATTCCGTTTCATATTTGTTGATAGAAATCTTTTTACACATATTCATTCAATTCCCTGTGAAAAGTACATCAGTGCAATTGCTATTGTTCTTCTCATATATCAGGTGGGAACCAGGGAGGAGAAATCCTTTTATGTTCTAATATCTTCACAAGGTCGGGCCTCAGGGCAAATTTTTCTGAACGATTAGAGAAAATTTTGGAAAAGTGTAGCTCAAGGGAATGGGTTTTAACATTAAAGAACTCAGTTTATTTTTCAAGTGAATGCCTTCTAGAACTTTCACTTACTGAACTAAAGAAATCTCTTTCTTCTTTATTCTATATTTTCTATAACTCCTTGGTTTTCACAATCAAAGTTTACAAGCCACAATACTTAAATTTTAAGAAGCCCCTCAAAGATTGTCTAGAGTTATGCATATAATAGGAAGTTCACATAGTTTTTGAAATATAAAGCTTGAGAGTTCAAGGAAATTGTGCATTTGTCCAGGACTGTTTTGAGATACCTCTGCAGATGGCCCCATGGCAACAATGCCATTAGAGAAGTATTTATGTGGAAAAGTTTGAGAAGTATTAATATCCCAGCTTCAGCCAAGATCATCTGCTTGTTTGATTTACATTTGGTTCCAAATTAGGGCATGACAATTTCTTCTGATCTACACCTCTCTTCCTTCAGCAATGAATCATATGCAGCTCCTCAAATCTCTGCCATGACAAAGCATCTATTTGTTTATCTAAAATCATTAGTCTCTATATCCTCTCAAGATTTTTGCATCCAGGATGATGATATTTGTGGTCACATGTACTTGCTGACATGTTTATTCATTTTTTTCATTTATTCAACCATATTTGTGGAGCCTGTAGTTCACAAGACACTATGTTGGGCACATCAGGTATGAATCAGACATGAAACCCGTGGGACAAGGACAGAGTGATACAAAGGGGGAAAGACCCATAAATGTCTGTGATACAATGTAGGGTGTGGTTAAGGAGATAAGTCTGTCAAAGCCTTGAAAATATATTTATCTCCATGGAAGTCTCTCCTAAGTTCCATCTTGGAATATATTCAACAATGACTTTGATCAAATTATTCCTGACTCTCCAAAGGAAAATGATGGAATTTTCATGATTTTTTTGTTTTGCATGGTTTTTCTTTAGGCATGTGGGGAGGATCCCATGGAAGCACAGAATATCACACATGTGTCAGAGTTTGTCCTCTTAGGATTCTCACAGACCCACAAGCTCCAGAAATTCCTGTTCCTGGTGTTCCTATTTGTCTACGTCACCACTGTTGTGGGAAACATCCTTATCATGGTCACAGTGACTTCTGAGTCCCGGCTCCACATACCCATGTATTTTCTGCTCCGAAATCTGGCTGTCTTAGACCTCTGCTATTCCACAGTGACTTCTTCAAAGATGCTGGTGGACTTCTTTCATGAAGTCAAGACCATTTCCTACCAGGGCTGCATGGCCCAGATCTTCTTCTTTCAGCTCTTGGGAGGCGGGACTGTCTTCTTTCTTTCAGTGATGGCCTATAACCGCTACATAGCCATCTTCCAGCCCCTCCACTATGTCACCATCATGAACACTCAGTTGTGTGTGGGGCTGGTGGTGGCTGCTTGGGTAGGGGGATTTGTTCACTCCATTGTCCAGCTGGCTCTGATGATCCCATTGCCTTTTTGTGGCCCCAACGTCCTGGATAATTTCTACTGTGATGTCCCACAAGTGCTGAGACTTGCCTGCACTGACACCTCCCTCCTGGAGTTCCTCATGATCTCCAACAGTGGAATGTTGGTCCTTATCTGGTTCCTTCTTCTTCTGATATCTTACACGGTCATCCTGGTGATGCTGAGGTCCCACTCAGGGCAGGCAAGGAAGAAGGCAGCTTCCACCTGCACCACTCACATCATTGTGGTGTCTATGATCTTCATTCCCTGTATCTCTGTCTACTCCCGGCCCTTCACCCCCTTCCCCATGGACAAGGCCGTGTCCATCAGCTACACAGTTATGACCCCCATGCTCAGCCCCATGATCTACACACTGAGGAATCGGGAGATGCAGGCAGCCATGAAGAGATTAGGCAAGCACCTTGTGATATGTAACAGGGAGTCAATTTAAAATGTCTTGAGTTTAAATGACAAGTCTTCCCTCTAAACTTTTGTTTTCCCGTGTGAAAGGTGGAAGTCTTTATGGAGGGTGACGTTTGAGATTAAATCAATATTTCTCTGGACCTACTCCTGTGTCAGGTATTGTGTTAGACACTTTCTCACTTTTATCTCATCCTCATAAAATGGACAGTGGATATATTATTTTATATTAAACACTTTAACAAATGAGAGAACTCAGAGAGAAATAACTTGCTTAATGGTGAGCAGCAAGTATGTTCCTGGCAGAGGAACAGGCAGAGGCCAGGACGTGCTTCCTCTGACTCCAAGTTTACAGGCAAGGCTATGGGTGGGATGTGAAATTCAAGGTTTCCCACAAACACAAGGGAAAACCTGGAGAGTTCCTCAGCTGTGGATGAATATCTGTGATGACTGGTGAACAAT